GTCCGCGCGGGACCCTTCCATTTCCGGCGACATATAGTCCTGGACCCAATCAGAGGGTAAGATTATCAAAAATTGTATACTCATACAATGTTTCGAAAGTAAGCAAGCACTTCTTTATGATTGATATTTTTCTTCACACATAGACTTTTGCTTGGGTTCGGGTACCATTTTGTAGAGTTGACTTCAACATACAAGGGATGGTCAGAAGTCGAAGTAGCCAATCAGAGCTGCATACCATCAGATGCAGCTTGAAACTCTACTCTAAAACTGTTTTTCTTATGTGCTAGTCACTTTCGTGGACCAAGCTATAAGCCGTTAAAGGTAGTTGCTTAGGTTGCGGCTGCGAATTTTGCATCCCTTTTTGGCATTTTGGATGCGCTGGGTCCAGTACTGTGCTTGAAACTTTCGAAATTGTCAATAGAGTGCGTTCCATAGCGTGAATGCTATTGAAGCTAAATAAAAGTTTTTGGAAATAGAGTTATTAACGGTGAAAAATTGTGTACCCTTGCAACACCCTGTAAAAAGTCATAAGTAAATAAGTATGTAAATATTCAAATATTTGTATATGTAATTTCTTGGCAAGCCTAAATCATGTTCATTATCTTAGGTTGAACTCGAATATCAGCCACTATCGAAGAAACAGTTAGACACGCACATGAATGCTATCTGTGGGAACGTAATTGGTAGGGTGCACTAACTGAGAAAAATAACCTATACATCCTTTATTCAGGCCGTATGGTATCAGCGAATGTGAAGGAAACTATCTCAGTACAACAGCCGGTCACTGCGCAACCTCCACAGGGTCCAACCGACTTTGCTCAGAACAAAAGCAACGCTACGGTATTGCCAGGTGTAGCTGCTGATTGGGGTCGCCCACTAAGCAATGGTCATGGATCCTGCAACGATCTCGGTGCAATCGGAGTGGAGAGGAAGAAAACTAGGTAAGTGGTTGTCACAGCTTGACCACTCATCCATCATAGGCTGTATATCCTTAGCACTTCGTCTACATGGGGCTTGCCTTCATCGCGCATTAGTGGTCCTGGAGGTGATGCTTTTGGATGGCCACCAAGTAGTCATCCACCAGATCTTCCATCACCATCACCACCCATTCCGCTTAAAGATGTTGTCCCTCCGAGTTTTACTGTAGGAGCTGCCGGAGTCATTGGACAGCCAGTCAGCACCAATTCTTCTGTAGCTTCCACAGGAGGAAATGTGAGTAACTCAGTTCATCCAGTAATAGATATCTCAACTGGACAGCGTTGCTTTCAATGCAGTTGAGAGGAGAGCTGCACAAATTGACCACCTTTAGCCTTTACTCACTGGAGCATCGAGCACAGCTTCAATGATATACAGTAATTACCAATGGCCGCCATCTTCGAACCCTGCACAGGCATCAGCAGATCTTCGTCTCTTTCAACCAATGACCCATCCATCTTCAGTAGTTGGAGCGAATCAATTGAAGCTAGCTCAGGCTCAGGCACAGGCTGCACAGGTAAGAATTGTTTTTTTTTGTGATTTCATCTCAGCAATAATCTTTTCTAGCTTCAAGCGCTCCTTCTCCAGAACAACGGACTTGGAAATCCCAATCTGTTGATGGTGAGTGCAAATAGAAGTTCGTTACTGATTCGACTATTGAAAGTTACTTTAGGCGCGCTTGAGATCGCTTGCTCCTGGAGTTGACCCACTGCTGGCACTCGGAGGACTTTCGCT